CCATCCCACCACTGACTGACGTAGAGCATAAACACCCCCAGACCTCCTAAACTCGTCAACACAACTATCTGTTTTATTCTTGAAAATAATAGACAGCGAAACACCACACTAGATTGAATACACATTCCTTTGTTTCGTACTAATCAAAGAAGAGAAAGCTGAATTCCTCCATATTTATTATTCAAAGTCAGTAGTGAAAATTTATATTGTCAATGCAAGAGAATTATTCTAGATTATTCGCCGAAACAGCAAAAAATTTGCTGCTTGTGTCTGTCAAATTCATTCAAGCTATATCTGTATATAATTAATTCAATATGTCTAATTCGTAAACCCATATGCCAATAATGGTGATACAGAGAAAAAGCACCCATACCCTGTCAACGACAATACATTGTAGGAGTAACGAGCAGCACTTTGTGTGTTTGTAAGTATAGGTCCATCGTATATGTTGAATGTAAACACTATGTATACACTAGAGGCGCAGGGAGTTAAGGAATATTACACAATAAAACAACACATTCGATGTTTTGGTAGGTTATGTCATTAAATATATCTTTCGCGTATAACAATGTATTTATTTGTTCAGTGGAGTCCAAAGCGTGTTAGGGCACTCATGCCATAAGGGGGAGGAAGCACGCTACGAGTGTACTACTTCCTTGATCACATTTCAAATTGTTGGCATTTTTATGTTATATTTGTTAACAGTTAACACAAACATATATTACTTTGGACAAGCTACAAACACATGTGATGATATTATTCACATACATAACTAGGGTATGTGTATTCTGAGTGTGACCCCCACATAATAACTGATATTATGACATAAGAGTGATGTATCACAGACCTTTCTGAAAATACAGTGTGCGTACATTGTGAATTAGGATTCCCCATTAGAAGAAGGCGACGTTGGGCATAAATGTCACCATGTTGCCCTTCTCGTGTGTGTTAACACGAATATGCCCATTCAAAATGTAACGAGTGCGAATTAGAAAAATGTCCCGTTGTTGATACAAAGACAATCTGACAACGTCAGAAGATAGTGGGCGTGGCCTCCTGCTTTTGATGGATGTCCTCTCCGTGTCTATCTCTCCCCTTATTGTTCAAGATACCAGGGGGACGTAGGCCAACTCCACTCCCTCCCCTACACTAGATCACAGCTGACATGCTTGCGTAAATGTGTGCGTTCATTTCCGCAATCTTGTAGCCAATGTGCGGTCACCATGACAATGTTATCAACTATTTAAGAAAGGAAATCAGAGCGTCTCATCAGAAAGAATTGTTTAGTTGTTGGTCTATGTAATGACAGAGGCTTTGTTTGTGAGACTGACAGTTAACGATTTGGGGATATTCCTGATTGATTCCTCCTTAAGTAACAAGAGTGATTTTGAAAAGTTGGATTAAACGGATTTAATCCATAGACAAAAAGATCCATAAAACAAATTGTGTTTCTTTTGTGAGGCGAGATGGAAGACGCAAGACTGTCGATGGCTCTGCACCTCGTCATTTGCACTGTGGCATTGCTAGCGCCAGCCTTCGCCCGACCTTTCACCATAGAGGCAGAATCCATTGCCATGGAGCACGAATCTATTGTCCGAACCATGGCCTCTGCTACAAGGTCTTCCCCGTTCCGTGCTGGCGACATTCTGAGAGTTGACTTCTGTCTCAGGAAAAACACCACAGTCACACTTTCTAACATCCGCTTTTCTAACGACGGCGACAAAGATGTTGTGGACGTCGACATGGACGGCGAAGATCTTGGATCTTTTGCTTCACATAGCAACTCCAACTTCGGTCACAACTGGAATAAGTTCGACTACAGTGGGCAGATCGGGGAACCACGAATACTATGGCCTGGCAGACACGTCGTCACACTTACCTTCCGGTCAACGGACTCCTATGGTATTGAAATAGACTCGGTGATTCTCCTAGTCGACGATGAGTCTCTTAAAGACGATTTCCTCCGATGCACGGCCCACTGTGATGCTTCTATCAGGTATTCTGGCATCAAAGCAAGAGACGACATCCCTTCTGGCGAGTTGGTTCAGAGGAGTCACAAGACGTTTTGTGCTGAAGACAGAAACATCAACTACCATCTGTTCCATGAAAGCATCACAGAATACCGCCTGACGGCTACCCCACCGAGATACAGAACGCTACTCAATGACCACAAGAAGGACGCCACCGGCTGTGAGCCTGTATCAGACGTTATCTGGGAATTTCGAAACTTCAGAGTTCTTCCCAGTGAAACCCCACAAGCCGTGAGTAATGCTCGTATGACATTTGGCGGAGATAATGTAGCCAAATTCACCACTGTGAACTTCCAGTTCAACCTAGATAAATCCTTTTCTCGACAGTCTGATGTAGATGTTGCTTCAAATCTCATCTTAAAGTTCCAGGAACCAAAAACACTGTTTTCGGTTCTGCTTGGGCATAGCTCTCGAGCTGGAAACCTGACGATGGTTCAACCCGCGTCCAATGATGGGGAATTTTATACATGGGAAATTCCGGAATTTACATGGGTAACGGATGACCAGAACTACGTTAATCTCACCATCATGACCCCACCAGGTGTAACAGCAGTGGTGGACAGTCTGAAACTCGTGCGCAAAGACAAGATGCCTGACCGGAACATTGTGATCTACGAGGACGGAGAAACCAAGGTGGTAGGTGTGATGGAGGACCAGTGGTGGCGCGCACCTAACGCGATGACCGTCTCACGTGTCGACTCGGGCGTTACCTGGGACAACATAACAAAAATAAGTGTTTCCAGGGCTATTCGCTGGACGGACGGTTTCAGTGAGGTTTTCCAACTCTATCAGGACGGGCTCGCTAACATCAATGCTATAGTTCCCTATGGAGTCAACTTCGTACCGTTTGGATCATCTGTAGTCATTGGTCAGTTCAGCACATCGGACAGTCGCCCATACGCCCCAATATCCAGCGTCGTTGTCGACCCTTTCTCCTTGAAGTTTTACCTCGGTTATGTTGACTCAAGTGTGGCAGAACTGGAGATCAATCCGAAACGTGACGACACAGAACTGCACGTTAAAAACGCTAACTACACCCGCGACCGTTTGACGTACCCCGTCGCTGCAATCAGGTCTACGTGGGTGTCGGACGGAAACGCAGAGATTGATCACGTTAGTGCCAACATGAATGAACCAAAAGAGGCCCTGAACGGGTGGGAAAGCCTGTATGGGACAGCATTCGCCTTTTTCCGCCAGTGTATTTCGATGCACAACACCCAGGGCCCTGACCTGTTCCTCGAGCTGCTGAGCGCACAAGAGATAGATACACATGACACAAGATAAAAACTGTGAACACTCAGAGTGGAACGCCCCTCCATCGCCCGGTGCCGCTCTCTGTGTTGTGTTGAATCAGGTGCTCAGACAGACGTCTGCTGTCGTTTCAAGGATATACTCTACACACGATTTGCAATTCCGAAAATCCGAAATTCCGAAAATCCATGAAAGATGTGTCATAATTATCCGGTTCTATCCACTTGATTGTATATATCCAGATCAATGTAGTTGCTTTATGAAGAAATGTTCCGCCTGTTTGATAAAGTATCAATGTACAATGCAATGTTCGTCAGCCGTGTCTAAAGACACTTGTACCACCTTGTTATTGTAGCGATACGTGCAATGACAATATCTAATGTGGTGTATGACTGAAGTGGGATCAACCAAAATGGTACATTCATGTCATTGTCTTCTGTGGATAGATAACAAAACTGTGTGAATCTTTGAATGCACCATGACAGCATTGTGGGCCATTTTTGTTTTCAAAATATGGACCTTCGTTATAGTATTTTGTCATTTAATCACCCTTCGTGCTGTTTGTGCCCAGACCTGTATGTCTGACTTTGGGATTATCTTTAAATACAGTGTACATGTGTGGGGTAAAGGGATATCTTCTATCTTGCTGCATGGTGTCAAGGCATTGTCACCCATGGATCATGTTATGTATTTATAGTTTATGTAAATACACATATTTTATTTATTGATGTGATCATTTTTATACTGTGTTCAAATAAAATGTGGGATTTGAATTTGGCACTTTACCTTTTATTATTTTGCAAATGTTCAATTGCGAAAAAAATACCACAGACACATTCATCAGGTTATGAAGACCCCAAATGCGATGATACAGGTGGAGGAACTATATATGACACGGTTTCATGCCACGTGCCACAGAGGAAAACTGAGCACCTTGTTGAACATGACATCATCACGTGATTTGTCATTCAGTTAGTGAGCAGCTGGTATATTCAGGCAACTGTTCAAATGACCAGTTTGTGTCTTGAACTACAGGCACTTGAAGGGTCAAATGGAATAATGGATTTAATAACCTGCAGGGGTATAAAATGACCACAACTTAACGCAAATGCACAGCAATATATTCTGATCACAAGTTTGGTATGTGAATGCACATCAATCTTATTATCATGTATTTGGGGAAGTGGATTTCAGTTGTGGGTATGAGGAAGTCAATGTTGTCCAAAGATATTTTCAAAATATTTTAACCTCGGCTGTGGTTGGAAATGATGCAGTTTGTAAGGGATTACCACTGAAACCAGACATATGAAGATCCAGGTTAGAATAAGTCTTCAGCAACCCATGCTTGTCGTAAGTGGCAACTAACGGGATCTGGTGGTCAGGCTCGCTGACTTGGTTGATGCATGTCATCGTATCCCAATTGCGTGGATCAATGCTCATGATCTCAATCACTGGATTGTCTGGTGCAGACTTGATTATTTACAGACTGACGTCATATAGCTGGAATATTGCGGAGTGCGGCGTTAAACAACAAACCACTGGTACCACTGGTACAGACACACCAGGAATCAAACAGATTGAATCGAGACCAATAACCAGCAACTGAGGGATACTTATAGCTAAGAAAAACAACTCTGCAAGGTTACCCATGCCACAAGTATACAGTGGACATTTGCCGTTACACTCTTCTCAATGTTTGATTCAGGACAATCAGTCGAATAGGTCCTAAAATTTCTTTTATTATCATATTTCATCAATAATAATAATAAAGTTAACTTATGTACATGGAATGCTAAAATCTGGAATTGCTATGTACAAATGCATAGCTCAAGTGATATCAACCTTGGTCATAAGTCAAGGAGATGGTAAACTCTGTAGTAACACATATAAACACTGTAAAGGCGGCATATATATACTGCAATAACACAAGGGTACTTCTCCAAGGTACAGTCAATGGTTGGTCTATGCTATGACATATAGCAGGCAAGTGTATAACACACTATAATGCTGCAAGATGGCTGCCGTCAAGTAATGCATCAAAATGAGATGGTAAAGAAGACTTGAATAGTGCTGTTTCTTAATTACCACATGAATAGTATTTTGAAGTATATTTTCTACTAACTGACATTGTGTTCTCCAATACATACCAGTAACGAATATTTGACCAATGATTAGAAGTAATAATAACCTTTCTGATTTCAGTTAGTCTTATGCATGTTCTCCTGTAATCCACTATATGAACATGCCACAAGCTATCTTTCGTATTTGGAATGTTACCATATCATATTTCCCTGCACTGATACAAAGGGAGATAACCTATATCAATAAGCTGGTAGTTGTACCTAAAGACAGGGAAACATTGCAGAATACTTGCAATATCTCTCATCTAAAACAAATATGTACAACTAGCGGAAAATGTTTGTACACAGGACCATAAACGTCCTTTGCAATAAACCAAATATGTTTCATCCACAATAACGTACTATCCAGCAATATAATATTTGAAAAAACCCAAACTTCTCTGAGCATTAAATTAAAAGTTTATGGAACTTAGTATGGCAGATGTTTATCCATACTTTTTTTTGTAGCTTACACTATATCCCTTCACCCAGGTACCTGTACATTGAACACAATTCACAGTGACACAGTAGTGGAATGATAATGCATTATGTAGAATGTAAGGTGACAAACTGATCCAAAGTTAGAGGAACATGACCAGCTCCATGTGATGTCAGCCGATGCCTGTAAACATTCAGGAACACTTCCACACTACAATGGCTACATTGCCGCCAAAGAACATATACAGCAGGTTCTTCACTTCATGGGTGATCTCGAAACCAAGGCCTTCACCAACAACTGCATGCCAGGAGGCGCCAAACTTCTTGTCCATTGTCTCCTTGATCATTTTGGCAGCATTCTGAGGAAAGTAATATATGTAGATGATGTCACAGGAAACAGCAGTGCAGTCATGTTATGGCAATCAGTATTACTGAGGCAGGAGATCAGACACAACCAGTAGATGTCGATCACTGATATTTGGTTCATGACACTCATGATCAAGGTCAGGGTTCTAACATCCTGAAAACATTATCAGGTCAACCAGAAATAAAAGAACCGGAAGACCCTGGATGCTTAGCTGCTATATAGCACTTGAACCTAGGGACCCAAGTCTGACAAAGACCCCTTGACTTCCATACTTATATTCTGATTTGTCTATTAGGGATTCCGTACACAGAGATGCCACCCCTTACTGAAGCTTAAGATTTGGAGTAATCAGTGGGATAAAAGGTGTCATTTTATGTGAAAAAGAGTAATGTCAATAGTGCCATGATGTGGGTTTTCGCATCGACATGTTTGTTTGGCCTAGATTATGTGAAAAACAGCTATACATGCATTTTACTGTACACCTATCTGCCATGTTTGTATTATGCTACTAAAATGAATTGATAAATAGAGCCATAAAGCTCAAAATAAGCAGAAAAATGTCTCTGCTTGCGTTTGAAGGTGTAATATGATTAAATCTCGAAATTGAACATCTGTAAAATCAATAAACATGGAAAAATTGACATCAACCTAGAAAAAGTATTCAAAAGTAGAAGTTCCATAATGGCATGCGACAACCTCATCAATAAACATGCCCCCAAACTCTGTTATTGTTTCGAGGTGGCAAGGAATGGTGTCTACCGAGGAAGGAACTCATGCACATCCCTGACAAAAATGGCAGGTGTCCAGTATACAGCATTCTTGCCGAAACACATCATCAAAGCTCCACACATGTATAAAATTCATCATGTGACAATACCTCAACTGTATTACAGAAAGACAAAGTGCTGTTTTGAATTCTAAAGAAATATTCATGTGATGAATGAATGCATTAACAATTTTCTCTCCATGATATTTTATGACATAAATAATTCATGAAAACAGGAGTCATCAGGAGAGGATCTATCCGCCTACCTCCCCCTCTAGAGCAATTCGGAAATGGAGTTTGGCTATTTCTACCCCACTTTTGGTTCATTGTCATAAGATACCTTCAGCTCAGTAAAGAAAAAAATAGAGCTGATCAGTATATTTCAATATCCCAAATCATCCAAATTAGTGAAATCTAAATATTTTTTCCACTTGTATACTTATCCTGCATTACTCCTTAATATTTTTTGACAGAAAGACGAACTGTGAGATGTCCAGCTGCTAAAGAAAAGTTGTTCCAACCAGTAACTGGCAGCACCATCGCACAGTCAGTGTGTGACCCGAAAGTGATGACGTCACATAAGAGCACATTACTGCTTCAAACATAACATCAGAACTTCGTGGAGAGGCAGCGTAGTGAAGGGAGGGCATATAGACGTAGTAATGCAGGTTAAGCATACAAACGTAAAATATATTTAGATTTTACTAATTTCTTTAACTTATCCTGCTTTACTCCTTAATGCATCTTTATCTGACAGTACGGCAGGTGGGTATACCTTCAGATGTGATCATAATAAACCCTCGTCAAGGTCCGATGTACCAGCACCTCATCTGATGTGATGACCGGAAAATTCATGACGAGAGTGAGAATGAGGAAAACAGGAAGACCCAAAAAGACGGCAGAAATAGAATGAGGCGGTTAGCCCCAAACAAGAACTGATAATGAGCAATGCGGAACGCAGTAGAGACGTCTAACCTGGGGTGATAAATACCAGAGAGTTTGACAGGCCGGCTAGGGGTATCGGAGAATAGATGAGGGATTGGTGACCTGTTAGGCTGCCACCAGGGGATCAAGGCTTTGAACGGTGGCAACTTCTTCCAAGCATACATCATGGAGATAGTGGCTGGCGAAGATGGTATCAGATCGCCAGAAGCACCCTTCCATGATAGACTTGATGGAGCAGTTACTATAAAGGCCCATGGTAGATGCAACTGCTCTGATCTTGTGTGGGTTGTTAGCCTTGGAGGGTCCAATCCGGCAGCTTCATAAGCTTGTGGGATGACTGCTCTGAGCCAGAAGGAAAAAGTATTCAGGCTAACCCCTGCAAGGGAGAGCGACAGGAATAGGTATATCCTAGACCTGTGTGAGGCTTTGTATTGTTGCAGGAAAACCTGCAATGCCCACACCGGGCATAACAAGAGCTCCGCCTCATTGTCTGCACCCACGATGGACAAGAGGGGAGGGATGGTGAATGATCTCACCTGGGAGTTGATTCCGGCAATGGAATTCCAGCACAGCCCGAGATAATGGCTCCATGGGTACCACATTTGAACCGGACGCGAGAAATGTCGAGGGAATGATGCTCACTGACCTGTGCTGTGTTAGCCAAGGCTAGAAGGAACACCGTCATTTTCGTAAGGTCGAAGAAAGATGCATGGCGTGGTTTGGAAGGAGCCGCCCGAAGAGCACTTTCAGATCCCAAACTGCCGGTCTGAACTTGGCTTTCTGTTCTTCAAGACAAAACAAGCGGGGCAAAGCATGTAGTTCTGGTATTTTCGTCATTTTCCGATCACCCAGAATGGCGACCAGGTATGTACGATGACTGAACCTGTCAACTAACGTTTGCTGAGCAGAAAAAGTAGAACTTCAGCCAAGAACTGGGGTGACGCTGTCATCAGATCTTGCTTGACAACGGTACAAGGATCTATACCGAAATATTCCCTTTACAGTATTAAAGAAGATGTTATCCATAAATTGTGTCTACTTGGTTATCAGAGCCTGTTCTTTGTCTGAACAAAAGGCATGGAATGAGTCCCACATGTTGTCATACAATTTCCGTGCAGATGGACGGACGATGGGCTAAAGAAATAGCCTTGGGCACTCTGGAGGAGTAGCCCTGGGCCCCTAAGGCTTTCTGCAGATGTGTCAGGCGTGAAGACGAAACCTGAGTTCAGGCCTGATACAGGGCAGGAAGAAGGTGGGTGGAAATTCCAAATGGTAGGACCGCCCACTGGTAATGGGTACCACTGTAATGGAAACTGAGGAACAGTCGGTCGCTTGGGAGGATAGACACATGGAGGTAGGCATCATGGATGCCGAGGCTGATCAGGGAGTGTTGGGGGATGTTCTAGGAGGCGCTGATTGAAGATGGAGAGATTGTGGAAGAATGATGGAACATTTCTTGGGTACAAGAAACACGGGGGAGTAGAAGCCAGGATAATGGCCTGGGTCGTGTACAATCTCTATAGCCTCCATGTGGAGCAGGGTGTTGATGCTGTCGCACAGGAGCTGATGTTGATAGGAGAAGGTGGCATCAGAGGTGGTTGTAGTAATAATGATAGACGGTACCCCTGATGGAGGACAGTGGTAACGAACTGGCCCAGTCTCCAACCTCCAGGTGTGTCAATAACCAGAATGACTGGGGGTGGGAGAACCCAGTCGTTCAAGTCCAACAGGTCAACGCTTGGACTTCAGATCGGCAAGCTTGCTAGGTTGGCGATCATATCGAGCCTGGTAGGAACCTTGGGCCTTTCCTCCACTACGCCTTCTGCCCCTTCTGAATAGAAGAGAAATGCTGGGACGAGTCCTTGAGGGAGGAACAATGATGAGGCTGGTAACTGCCCTTGGACGACTTGGCCGATGCCTGCTGAGTGACATGCTCTAGGGCTTTGAGAGCCGTCTCATCCCTCGTGAAGCGGGAAACCTGAGCGTGTGTAGCGGTGATGACTCCGTTAAACAGAGAGGGACCAGACCAGGGTTGATGCAGGAGGAATTTCCCAAATTCGGAATCCCATTCCTTATGTGCTAGATATCCAAAATGTCTGGTGGTAGTAATTTCCGCCAGTGCAGCATGCAAGTGGTTTCTCATGTAATTGACTGGTCAGAGGTGGAACAACACTATAATCCACAGATGGTCAATCCGGTTGAGACTAAACTCACACAGATCCCGGTCGATAGCTCTGGAAGAGAAGGCAAGAGCCGAGTGATCGGTATATCTCTGACTCAACAAAGGCAAGACGGGTATCTGGCATGCGAATGGTGGTAGGTTTGGAAGACCCTGCCATGCGATGCAGGTCGTCATCCAATATGTGAACTTGGTCAGCTACATCAAAAGAGTGAACAGAAATCATCCCTTCGATAACGACGAACCTTGAACGATGGCATGAGATAGAGCTTAGCGAAGTCCTCGCCTAAGGCTGAAGTGAGGATGGTCAACATGGGGTCATGTGGAAGCGATGTAAGGTTAGACCATATCGTGCTAGGGCAGGGTGGAACTAGTTGCAAGCCCATGATAGGGTGTCACCGGTGGTGGGGATGAGATTGTCGGTAGGGGACTGCAACGGGCCGTTGATCTCGATGGGGAGGGAGCCTCAGTGGTGTCAGACGTACGAGGCCGCTTGGCAAATTCAAAATGGCGCCTGTAATATTTCTGTGACTAGAGCCATAAACAATTGGGTAAACGTTATAATATACGTATGGGAATACCATAAAAGACACAAACCATAAACACAATGCAATATAAAGGAAAAAAAATAATGTAATAAACAATCAAAGGATGCAGGAAACAATAGAGCTTTAATCCCCTCAAATACACGTCTGTCTGACAAAGCAGTAATGTGCTCTTAAGTGACGTCATTGCTTCCGGATCATGTGCCAACTGTGGGAGTGTGCTGCTAGTTACAAGTCATCAAAAGGTACTCTTAACCACGAGACTGATCTGTATAAAGCATGTTTCAACAAGAATTATTCAACAGTTTTGGAGTTCTGCTATGGAAATGGACAGAGGACAGACGGACGGACATGCTTCAGGTGGTGGTGGGGTGAGTAAAAGAGACAAAAGGCGTATTTTGAGAGAGGAAAAGTGTAATAGCATACTTTAAGTACTGTGTATAGAATGTATACCTGAACATACTGTTGAACATTTATTATTGTATTTTTATCTCAAATAATTATATTCATCTGATCATCATTTTCTGAATATTCCATTACTGAATATAGACCTGTTTTTCTCTCCTTAACCTGATTACTCTGGAAGAAAATGGATTGTGTCTTGTACTTGGGTTCATACCTCATTATTGCTGGCAAACTTCTCACAGGCTGTGACACACAACTCCATAGCTTCAGTCTTCATTTCATCATTCATATCAGAATGCTTCAAATAAAACAATGAACACAGTCAGCTGACAATGGTGGAACCCAATATGCATGTTCTACAAATGGCAGTAAGTTCCCATCTCAGTTATCACAAATTCACTTGTCAATGGCTAAAACAAAGTAGCAACAAGATTAACCTTTATCTCATTCTCACATACATTATCTTCCTCACATTTCTGTTGATTCACTGACAACTGAACAATGCCCTGATCAAATGTTTACATACATTGCCATGATCAATATCAGTTTAGAACATAAAATTTTATTTAATCACAATTATCAATACGATGAACATGTCAATGTTAAGGCCCTCACAACTACTGTAAATCTTGAAATTAACGCGATCGTGAATTAAATGCAAAAAATGTGAGTGGTGTTTGTTCGCATTAATTAAACTTCGCAGTTATGTCTCCAAAATGACTATCAACAATAAGAGGGCCTCACTGCACACTTTGGATAGCGGAAATACCAACTTGAATATGAACAAAAACATTGCTTATTGAGCAGCAGTTGTAACAAGTATATAACGTCATTCAAAGAGTAGGAATTACCCAATAGGCATCCAGTGAGTTATCACTGCTGGGGTCAAGAGTTCTACCCATTTGTGTCAAACTAGGCATCATTGAACACTCCAACAGTCCAGACAGAATCCACCCATGCAACTCTTCGTTGAAGGCCTACACAACCCAATACGCACTGATAGGCTTCCGAACACTCCTCATGTCTACAGCCTTTGTTTTGTCATCTGACTTCAAGTTTGTTGACATCTTTTCCGCATACCAATCAGTGAACATTGAACTTCCTTAATGCCAGTCAACAGAACCATATAAACTGTGTGTTGCTTTTAGGAAAACACTGTTTATTTTTTTAACGGAAGTGCTCAACTGTGATCTACACATAGCGTTTTGCACTAGACGTCAATACAGAATGTTAATTACTTGTGTTGGGATCATTCACTTTTGGAAACAGTGTCTCCAAATACGCTTTGAACTGGACACTGATGGCACAGCTGGTGCATTCAAATGGAGTCTAGATATCAGTCCAAACATTTTAAACTGACTTCATTTCAAAACGACAGAATTAAGCACTTTTCATTAGACATGGTAAAATTCAAGCACTTTTCATTCAAATTTGTGCGAAACCTTAGCTTCAGTATCCAAATAGGTGTCAGTGCGTGTACATATGGTGGATAATATACACTCCAATGTTATCATTTTTGGCCGAGTGTGCCTGTTGTCAAAAATACATACTAGTGCAATGAGAGTTGACTCCCTTAATTTTACCAGACCGATGCCCATGAAGATCCGAGTTAGGGTGGTCAAGCTCGCTGATTTGGTTGATGCATGTTATTATATCCTAATGGCATGGATTGATGCTTATCCGATATCAATCACTGGGTTGCAGCGTTCAACAACAAACAAACAAACCAGACAGGCTTGTCATGTTTACGGTGGGTTTTTGTGAACTTTGGTTGCAGTTACCATCACATTTTAATATGAACATACTACTTTGAGAATGTTTAATTTATGAAACACCATGACAAATCTAGACTTCCACAAACGACTACCAAGGAAAAACTGAGTTAGATGTTACCATTATGCTGATGACTGAGTATGGCTATAAAAATACTTCTTTCAAGCGAAAGCTTACAAATGAGTTATGACCATTCGAATCATCGTTGGTGGTATGACAAATTACTCAAACAATATCCAAATGTCTGAAATGATTTTCAAATTTGTAAACAACAAAAGATTGTGAGCGCCAAATTTCAAGATCAAGATATTTACCCTGATGAGAGGATACGTATGTACTCTCTTTGAATCGGTGTCTGCCTTTTTCTCTTCTGTTTGTTCTGCCATCTTTTGAGGTACGGAAAATGATGCGTTAACACCGACAAACGATCAGATAATGTGTTGAAATGTTAGCTCCAGTTGCCTTCCGCTACTGGTAACTAGGTGGCTGTGCGCATGCGTAACGGAAGTAGTAACGTATCGTTCTAAATACTACTACTAGAAAACAATAATTTCCTTTAGGATATATTATCCTTTTGTTGCCCTATCCAACCTAATATTACCAAGTTTAACATGTATAATTTATAGAAATATATGTATTCTACTGGATATAGATAACACACTCCAAGTTTTTGTAAAAATAAATGGTTTTTTAATGAAGTATATAATAAGTCTTAAAGAAAGTCATATGTTTAAACATTTGCGGAAGCGGATGTATATGAGCTGACATGTGCTTGTGTTTACAAATTTGAATGGTTGAAAAGACTTTCATAAATGTCCCTACTTTAAAAGAAATGGAAAATCTAGAGCAACGACCTTTGTTGTCTGAGATCCGACGTATGGCTCGGGAAATCGAGAACGGGTTGTCATGTGACAAAATTAGTCATAATTATATTGAAATGTTGATGAAATTTAGAGAATTTGTATGTGATACAGAATTTTCACATTTAAAACACATGGAGGGCATTTCTAGTTCAGATTTAGCAAGCGCTAGAAGTATCTTTCGCCAGTATCACTATTCAAGATGTTGCAGTCGCCTGCTGAATTCCTTGTCCGTTGAAGTAGTGTCAAAGTATTCGAAAGCAGCTGTACAGTCATTAGAGAGCATCTTCAGGAATGGACCTGCCACGCAAGCTATAATAGTCCTGTGTACAACTATTTCGAAATCTGGGTAATTAATCCATGATATATGTCATTATCTCTGCTATAAAGTTTGACTGAATGTAAAACTGAAATACAAACAAAGCAAAAATTCTGTCTCAAGTATCTTGATGACATTTATTTGACATATATTGGAATATGCCTGTGAAGTTTGTAATGAACATGATGTAAACAGACTTGAGCTAATACAACCAGTAGCAGTGAGGATAGTAACTGGACAATTTATATCATTGGAAAGCTGGTCTTTTTTTAAACTGGATGAGTAGAATATACATTTGTCACAAATAGCGGAAGAATAAGAACCTCCTGACACTATAGAAGTCTGTCATACCTGTACAAATTGCTACTGCCAAATGCATCTAATACTACAAGATGTAATGTACATAAGAAATCCACTATCACTGTTTGGGTTTTCTGGAACTACCATCTTATAGAAATAATTTATGGATCAGATACTCTAATTGGAACAAAATAGAACAGACCCGTGAACATGGTAAAGATCCTTCTTAAAATTGGTCAGAATTGTTCGTTGTAAGAGGAGACTTACATGATCGGGTGGTCAGACTTGCTGACTTGATTGAAGCATGTCATCGCTCCCAATTGCGTGTATCGATGTTCATGATATCAATCACTGGATTGTCTGGTACAGACTAGATTATTTACAGACCGCCGACATACAGCTGGAATATTGCTGAGTGTGGCGTAAAACAACAAACCAACCAACCAACATGGTGAAGATCCTTCTTAGAATTGGTTGTAATTGCTTGTTGTAAGAGGCGACTAACATGATCGGGTGGTCGGACTCGCTGACTTGATTGATGCATGTCATCATATCCAAATTGCTTAGATTGATGCTTATAATGTCAATAATTGGATTGTCTGATTCGATTTTCAGACTGCTGTCATATAGCTGGAATACTGCTGAGTGCAGTGCTAAATAACAAACAAAACAAAATAGAACTAAGTATCAGAAACAATCAATCATTGTCAATGTTAGAAACAAAGATTACCACCAGTGTTATATCCGCACCTGAATTTTATAACTATGGAAGTTTAGAACATTGTTAGCATTTTTCATACCAAAGTACGGCATGCATGTTAGAAATTAAACATTTATCTGTTTAGAAGTAAATTTGACCTATCAAATATTATGTTCATTTGTCCATGTTGATCTCAAATTGAAAAGTTTCCCTTATATTCTTATATATTAGATACAGACTTTTTTCTGCATCTTTGAATGATTATAGGCAACCCAACTTAGACACATTTCTTTATTGTGACAAGCACATCAATGTCAATATTTGTGTTAGGAGATGCTGTAACAGATCGGACCATGTTTAGAACTGATATAACAGATCAGGCTGTAACACTTGGATGGTAGGATTCAGCATACACAGAAAAACACTTGGCTTCATACACAACATGTTTGTTTTGACATAATTTTCTTTCCTTTTTTTCAGACTTGGTTTTAAACTTCATAAGTGTGTGTCCTTGTTGGAAACTTTGCTCACTGATCATAAACTGGCGGAGATATTCTGGGAGCAGTCTGTAATGAACCCCTCCATGCCTGAATGTAACGACTCCCTCATACAGGATCAGCTGACAACCACCATTGTGTCTCTACCAGAAACTGTCACAAACAAACTGCAGAAGGAAACAGGGTTTGTTTCATCATTTTTAACTCACCTGACTGGCATATTTTAAGTTTTGATCAAGGAACAACCTTTGACCTTCACATATGCATTTATTTGTAGTGTACAATTTTGACATGTTCTCTGAAACTACAAGGCCTATGGAACTGAAAGTTTGAGGTGATGATCTCAGCTATGGAGTTTGTAAAATTGCTCATAAATTGCTTATAATTTATAAATTTTATAATGCTTATAAATGTCCTTCATTAATATTTCTTCATATTTCAAATGAGCTTCAGTGCCTTGTTACTGGATATGTAAACAAGATTTGGTTCCATGCATATGTAAGTTCCGGTGGGATGAGAGAAAGGATACAGGAGTTTCTTAGCATGGTGCAAATGCTTGCAATATATTTGTTCCGGTTGGAACCTCATATGATTCACAGTAAAAAACTACATTGTATCCCTTCAGAGAATTCAGGTAAAAGAACAGATGATAACCAATTTGGTCAATAAAAATGTGAAATTTGAGATAAATTATCACTAGACATAATGATTTACATTTAAATTGTATTATGTTCTGCAAGGCTTTGTTTTATATGCAGAAATAGAGATTACCGTGTGTATTTTCCAATAAACTAAGCTGGATAAAGCAATCAGCTGTACGCACATTTTCTACAAATCTAATGGTGATTCCTTTAAAACCCAGCAGTATTACTTCAAAGAATTTGGATGCAATGATCAGAAGAATTGTATCTGAAACTATCATTTTATGCGAAGTAATATATTCCAATATTGAATTATTTTATTTGCAGCTTCACTATTTTATTTAAAATTATAATAACCCTAAGCGTAGCACTTTGGAATATTTCATGGAACAATTTGATCGGTCACTCTTGAGGCCTTCTGCATTCTTGCTGCACCAAATGAATGAAAACAAAAGGCAAATATCGTAATTGCAAAAGATTAGTAAAATTGTAATTGCAAATTTATATACATAATGTCAGGCAGTTACCTTGTTCTGAGAAATGTATCTGTAAATATCCACATAAAGGAACAATATCCCATACATCTGAAGCTATACGAAGAAACTCGTTCGATGTCACATGTCTTTGTAACATTCTAATATTTTAGAATAATATAGTGTTTCGGGATATTATCGGAACTTGTGTTCATCTCTACAACTGATCATGTAAGTTTGTTTCAAGTGTTTCACACAGGTGTCATGTCTCATTGGTCAGCTGAGATAGCACATGTGACAGCTATGGTCATGTTTTCCATGGTTCTATGAATAAATCCATTGAGTTAGATAACAATGAGTAATTAATCAACATATTACTGGCTAATCCTTTGAACGAAGTATCTTGACTTTACATATAGGCACTCCCCGCCCAGATATGGGTGTATTCCATCTACTTTAGTAAACCTGCTAATATAAACACTTACTTTTGACGAAGCCACTATGCCAGATTACAGTGATTAATCAATCAATGTATTATCAGTTAAAGGGGCACTGATTTCCGATGCTAACCACAAAGATACCTACATTTCCTTATTATCTCCAAAACTGTATTTCATTTTGTTGATCAATGTGACCATACGCCCTCTATATTACTACCCATACAAGTGACTAATGCGCTTACGAACGGCGCAGCAGAGGTCGCAAACTAGTCTAGATTTCTGCTATACATCAACTACTCACGGGGGAAAAAACAATAACAAAGGCAACAACCAGTCCGGGGAATTGCGTTAGATCAGTGCCCCTTTAAATCCTTTGATCAATGATTTTTGCAACTCAACTGACCATTCCTCTCTTTCTGCACTGGCAGGTGCATATTACCTAACATGTAGTACATTCACCACCTCAGACCTGGATTTATGACCCATCTTAGATTAAATAATTACCCCAGACACTAGAAATGCCAAATGCGAACCACTGATTGCTATACACCCTCAGAGGCAGTGGTGAATGTTATTGAGTTATTTTGCAGGCCTTTGTCAGGTAATCTGAGTGGTGCTACCACTAATTATACCTGTAATAAAGTCATTAACTGAGCATCAAGTGAATGACGACAAATATACAGGTGTAGGGTTAAACCAGCGAACATGGCTGACAACAGGGGAGTAGTAATTGTTGTATTACATGCAGTTTGCCTGAAAAATAAAGGGTCAATATGGTTTTGAGTATATGAACTGAATTTCTGCAAATATAATACATGCACATATTTGCTGTATACTCAACTCATAATTGTACCTAATAAGTAGTGGCAGGATCACAAGGCTCATGGTATAAAACCTAGGGAGGGACACATAAAACCCCATGTACCCCTCGTGATTCTGTCACAACAAATCTATCTCACCGACATGTTTTAATGTGACATTGTAAAAGAATTACCATATTCGACGTAATAAGCGCCCCGCTCTAATAAGCGCCCACAGCGTTATTTGATAATATATTGGCAAGTGAACAATCCCAGTTAGCACCCTTTCCGATTGATCAATGAACACAAGCCTTATTTATTCGTGTGTAATACACACTAGTTTGTTATATGCACCCTTAATTATGGGCAATTAAATTCTCGAAAATATATCTATCCTGTATAATACACACAGATTCTTCTTTTATATCATTTCAGGCTGACCACAAAATTTACAATCTTTCAACCTCGTTTTTAATCTCACCAAAATTATATTCTAATAAGAGCCCCCTATTTCTAATTTTGAGAGCGCCCTGGGCGCTTATTATGTCGAATACGGTAACACAAATTTAAAATGGATAGAAAACAGCTGTTCCAATAAGCTGAGGTTGACTTCCATTGACTCGGAAAAAGCATGCAGCTCTTTGCTTGGGAGCAGGATATAAGGGATTTATTCTGCCTCTTAGGAAACCACGTGCAGCCTGTATTGCACATGGCGGGGTATAAGAGATTTATTCCCCCACTGAGAAATTTATTACCCTTCCAAGGTGGGGTACATAATATTTTATCAAGATCACGTGGACCAATCAGATCTCATCATTCTGACATGGAGGTATGATAAACATAGGTACAAACGCAGACGAAATTGCAAGGTGAAAGGTTATAGTTCGCTGGTACGAAGCCCAGTTTGTTTAGTCACTGACGCTAATTGTCATCTGGTGATTATGTGGGCTAATTAAAACAGGCTGCCTTGAGGACTGAGAGTTGGAGTGTTGTTTCCCTTTTGGAAGTTGTCTTGATCATGTGGATTAATGTCATGGTCTGGGAGTCTGGTCTGGTACATGGTAGTACATAAAGACTTGGAGCATTAAGGAAATGGTGATGACACAGCTGCTTTTGTTTTTGCAATTACTTGCTAGTCCTCCAGTTTCATATTGATGTGTTCTATATGTGATATCAATTTTGGGTTATGTCCTCTGTTAGGTTGCTTACAAAGAGAACATGTCCATTATCAATCATGATGTCTTGATGAATATTGTAAAATATTGTATTTGTCATGTTCCAGTGAAATGTTTTACCCTCAAAGTTACGTGCCACTGGTGTGTGGAGACATCTACATGACACTGGAGAAGGTGCAAGGGTGCCTAGTTGCCGGTAGCGATTGTTCCCTGGAGTTTGTCAGCAAGGTGCTGGGCAGATTGGCACTAGCGGGGCATGCAGGTAGGAAGAACCTTGTGTTGATTTGAAACACACACTATGAGGGAGTCCCTGGAACATCTATCTAGGGACTGATCACACTGATAAATAATAGCCACAAATATGACATATTAATAATGGAACTGAAGATAATTTAAAATATGCAGGATTGCAGTGTCATGTGAGATCAGTATGTATCTTGATACAGACAATCATGTTAGCCATGCATCATGATACAGACAATGATGTTAGCCTTGTATCAGGATACAGATAATGATGTTAGCCATGTATCAGGATACAGACAATGATGTTAGCCTTGTATCAGGATACAGACAATGATGTTAGCCTTGTATCAGGATACAGACAATGATGTAAGCCATGTATCAGGATACAGATGATGTTAACCATGTATCAGGATACAGATAATGATGTTAGCCATGTATCAGGATACAGACAATGATGTTAGCCTTGTATCAGGATACAGACAATGATGTTAGCCTTGTATCAGGATACAGACAATGATGTAAGCCATGTATCAGGATACAGATGATGTTAGCCATGTATCAGGATACAGATGATGTTAGCCTTGTATCAGGATACAGACACTGATGTAAGCCATGTATCAGGATACAGACAATGATGTTAGCCATGTATCAGGATACAGATGATGTTAGCCTTGTATCAGGATACAGATGATGTTAGCCATGTATCAGGATACAGATGAAGTTAGCCTTGTATCAGGATACAGACAATGATGTAAGCCATGTATCAGGATACAGACAATGATGTTAGCCTTGTATCAGGATACAGACAATGATGTTAGCCATGTATCAGGATACAGACAATGTGTTAGACATGTATCAGGATACAGATAATGATGTAAGCCATGTATCAGGATACAGATGATGGTAGATATGTATCAGGATACAGACAATGATGTAAGCCATGTATCAGGATACAGACAATGATGTAAGCCATGTATCAGGATACAGACAATGATGTAAGCCATGTATCAGGATACAGATGATGTTAGCCATGTATCAGGATACAGATGATGGTAGATATGTATCAGGATACAGACAATGATGTAAGCCATGTATCAGGATACAGACAATGATTTAAGCCATGTATCAGGATACAGATGATGTTAGACATGTATCAGGATACAGACAATGATGTAAGCCATGTATCAGGATACAGACAATGATGTAAGCCATGTATCAGGATACAGATGATGTTAGCCATGTATCAGGATACAGATGATGTTAGATATGTATCAGGATACAGATAATGATGTTAGCCATGTATCAGGATACAGATAATGATGTTAGACATGTATCAGGATACCGATGATGTTAGATAGTATCAGGATACAGATGATGTTAGATAGTATCAGGATACAGATGATGTTAGCTATGTATCAGGATACAGGCAATGATGTTAGCCATGTATCAGGATACAGACAATGATGTTAGCCTTGTATCAGGATACAGACAATGATGTTAGATAGTATCAGGATACAGACAATGATGTTAGCCTTGTATCAGGATACAGACAATGATGTTAGATAGTATCAGGATACAGATGATGTTAGCTATGTATCAGGATACAGGCAATGATGTTAGCCATGTATCAGGATACAGACAATGATGTTAGCCTTGTATCAGGATACAGACAATGATGTTAGCCATGTATCAGGATACAGACAATGATGTTAGATAGTATCAGGATACAGATGATGTTAGCCATGTATCAGGATACAGACAATGATGTTAACCATGTATCAGGATACAGATAATGATGTTAGCCATGTATCAGGATACAGACAATGATGTTAGCCATGTATCAGGATACAGATGATGTTAGATATGTATCAGGATACAGATAATGATGTTAGCCATGTATCAGGATACAGATAATGATGTTAGACATGTATCAGGATACCGATGATGTTAGATAGTATCAGGATACAGACAATGATGTTAGCTATGTATCAGGATACAGATGATGTTAGATAGTATCAGGATACAGATAATGATGTTAGATAGTATCAGGATACAGATGATGTTAGCCTTGTATCAGGATACAGACAATGATGTTAGCCTTGTATCAGGATACAGACAATGATGTTAGCCATGTATCAGGATACAGACAATGATGTTAGATAGTATCAGGATACAGATGATGTTAGCCATGTATCAGGATACAGACAATGATGTTAACCATGTATCAGGATACAGATAATGATGTTAGCCATGTATCAGGATACAGATAATGATGTTAGACATGTATCAGGATACAGATGATGTTAGATAGTATCAGGATACAGACAATGATGTTAGCTATGTATCAGGATACAGATGATGTTAGCTATGTATCAGGATACAGGCAATGATGTTAGCCATGTATCAGGATACAGACAATGATGTTAGCCATGTATCAGGATACAGATGATGTTAGATATGTATCAGGATACAGATAATGATGTTAGCCATGTATCAGAATACAGACAATGATGTTAGCCATGTATCAGGATACATGTGTTCTTGCAATATGCAACCAACTCCTTATAAAGATAAAAGAAAGTTATTTTGTTAATACTTTCAAACCAAAATTAAATGGCCTTTAATAATTGAATTAATTTATGCAATTATTGTACATTTTACTGCCACTACAATACCTATTTCGTTATGTGTTGTACGCCTGCCCCACACAAAGTTATGCGTCTTATTGTGATGTCACAAAGTTAGATTTCACTTATGTGTTAGAGTGCACAGTGATGTTAAAACAGCGTAACAGTATAACTGTACTCTTGAAAATCACATTCATGAAACTGGTTGAGTAAATTATACAGCTCATCTTTGGACTTTTGCATTTTATTTATATATCAAGTATTATCGCTTTGACTTGATAACATATAAAAATATACACTGCAGATCGTGTATGGGGATGCTTGCTGCCACAGCTGTACACGAAAGTACACTCAGATTATGTCTGGTGTCGGATATGTGAGAGAGTCATCACCGGGGTGCCAACACGATGTTTAGAAAGTGTGCTCACACCCTTCCTGAAACAACTACCGTGGTATGTATGACACCCTTCCTGAAACAACTACCTTGGTATGTACGACACACTCTCTGAAACAACTACCTTGGTATGTATGACAGACTCCATGAAACAACTTCCTTGGTATGTATGACACCCTTCCTGAAACAACTACCTTGGTGTGTATGACACCCTTCCTGAAACAACTACCTTGGTATGTATGACACCCTTCCTGAAACAACTACCTTGGTGTGTATGACACCCTTCCTGAAACAACTACCTTGGTATGTATGACACCCTCCCTGAAACAACTACCTTGGTATGTATGACCCCTTCCTGAAACAACTACCTTGGTATGGATGACACCCTCCCTGAAACAACTACCTTGGTATGTATGACACCCTTCCTGAAATAACTACCTTGGTATGTATGACACCCTCCCTGAAACAAATACCTTGGTATGTATGACACACTCTCTGAAACAACTACCTTTGTATGTATGACACCCTTCCTGAAACAACTACCTTGGTATGTATGACAGACTCCATGAAACAACTACCTTGGTATGTATGACACCCTTCCTGAAACAACTACCTTGGTGTGTATGACACCCTCCCTGAAACAACTACCTTGGTATGTATGACACCCTTCCTGAAACAACTACCTTGGTATGTATGACACCCTCCCTGAAACAACTACCTTGGTATGTATGACACCCTTCCTGAAACAACTACCTTGGTATGTATGACACCCTCCCTGAAACAACTACCTTGGTATGTACGACACCCTCTCTGAAACAACTACCTTGGTGTGTATGACACCCTTCCTGAAACAACTACCTTGGTATGTATGACACCCTTTCTGAAACAACTACCTTGGTGTGTATGACACCCTTCCTGAAACAACTACCTTGGTATGTATGACACCCTCCCTGAAACAACTACCTTGGTATGTATGACCCCTTCCTGAAACAACTACCTTGGTATGTATGACACCCTCCCTGAAACAACTACCTTGGTATGTATGACACCCTTCCTGAAATAACTACCTTGGTATGTATGACACCCTCCCTGAAACAAATACCTTGGTATGTATGACACACTCTCTGAAACAACTACCTTTGTATGTATGACACCCTTCCTGAAACAACTACCTTGGTATGTATGACAGACTCCATGAAACAACTACCTTGGTATGTATGACACCCTTCCTGAAACAACTACCTTGGTGTGTATGACACCCTCCCTGAAACAACTACCTTGGTATGTATGACACCCTTCCTGAAACAACTACCTTGGTATGTATGACACCCTCCCTGAAACAACTACCTTGGTATGTATGACACCCTTCCTGAAACAACTACCTTGGTATGTATGACACCCTCCCTGAAACAAATACCTTGGTATGTATGACACACTCTCTGAAACAACTACCTTGGTATGTATGACACCCTTCCTGAAACAACTACCTTGGTATGTATGACAGACTCCATGAAACAACTACCTTGGTATGTATGACACCCTTCCTGAAACAACTACCTTGGTGTGTATGACACCCTCCCTGAAACAACTACCTTGGTATGTATGACACCCTTCCTGAAACAACTACCTTGGTATGTATGACACCCTCCCTGAAACAACTACCTTGGTATGTATGACACCCTTCCTGAAACAACTACCTTGGTATGTTTGACACCCTCCCTGAAACAAATACCTTGGTATGTATGACACCCTTCCTGAAACAACTACCTTGGTATGTATGACATCCTTCCTGAAACAACTACCTTGGTGTGTATGACACCCTTCCTGAAACAACTACCTTGGTATGTATGACACCCTCCATGAAACAACTACCTTGGTATGTATGACACCCTCCCTGAAACAACTACCTTGGTATGTGCTCACACCCTTTCTGAAACAACTACCTTGGTATGTATGACACCCTTCCTGAAACAACTACCTTGGTATGTATGACACCCTCCCTGAAACAACTACCTTGGTATGTATGACACCCTTCCTGAAACAACTACCTTGGTATGTTTGACACCCTCCCTGAAACAAATACCTTGGTATGTATGACACCCTTCCTGAAACAACTACCTTGGTATGTATGACATCCTTCCTGAAACAACTACCTTGGTGTGTATGACACCCTTCCTGAAACAACTACCTTGGTATGTATGACACCCTCCCTGAAACAACTACCTTGGTATGTATGACACCCTCCCTGAAACAACTACCTTGGTATGTGCTCACACCCTTTCTGAAACAACTACCTTGGTATGTATGACACCCTTCCTGAAACAACTACCTTGGTGTGTATGACACCCTTCCTGAAACAACTACCTTGGTATGTATGACACCCTTCCTGAAACAACTACCTTGGTATGTATGACACCCTCCCTGAAACAACTACCTTGGTATGTATGACAGACTCCATGAATCAACTACCTTGATATGTATGACACCCTCCCTGAAACAACTACCTTGGTATGGATGACACCAAGCCACCCTTTACATAAAATAAATGTCACAAATAGCAAGTCTACTTTTGGTCAGACGTATTATTTTCCAGCCATATTTTATTTGTGTTTTACAGTAGCTATGAAACCATAAAAATAATAATTAATGATTTAATGTTAATGCATCTGTGTGTGAAAACAATTCAGTGAACAGATCTATGTAATACAACTCGGTGAATAGATCCTTATCAATTAACTTTGTCCTTTTGACTTCTGTGAATAAGACTTAAAGCTCAAACATGTCACTGTCCATTGCATTCATTGGGCAAACAGCCTGCTTAATGCACGCAATGGGCAGTTGCACAGATTGGGTGGAACATATACTGGTAAGCAGTAATTGATACACAATATTCCATATTTTCTGTGGTCTGACAATATTGCTGAGGTGACTCCCTGGGGAATATGAGAATCACTGCTGTGAATCAAGGCACATTTAGAACCAACGCACTAGCATGACGAGACACCACCAGGTATGTTATGGCCTGTAGTATAGAAGATGAATTGTTTTTGTGCATTGTGTTATCATTACAGGTATGGTTTGGCTGGGAGGTTCCTTGGTGACAGCGTTGTGAAGAACCACACCATACAGAACTTGCTGTGTACAAAGCTACTTTTTCACAGACACTTCAGCCAGGTATGTCCATGCATCACCAACCTTCCTACACTTCAGCCAGGTATGTCCTTGCATCACCAACCTTCCTACACTTCAGCCAGGTATGTCCTTGCATCACCAACCTTCCTACACTTCAGCCAGGTATGTCCTTGCATCACCAACCTTCCTACACTTCAGCCATGTATGTCCTTGCATCACCAACCTTCCTACACTTCAGCCAGGTATGTCAATGCATCACCAACCTTGCTACACTTTAGCCAGGTATGTCCATGCATCACCAACCTTCCTACACTTCAGCCATGTATGTCCATGCATCACCAACCTTCCTACACTTCAGCCAGGTATGTCCTTGCATCACCAACCTTCCTACACTTCAGCCATGTATGTCCTTGCATCACCAACCTTCCTACACTTCAGCCAGGTATGTCCATGCATCACCAACCTTCCTACACTTCAGCCAGGTATGTCCATGCATCACCAACCTTCCTACACTTCAGCCAGGTATGTCAATGCATCACCAACCTTCCTACACTTCAGCCATGTATGTCTTTGCATCACCAACCTTCCTACATTTCAGCCAGGTATGTCCATGCATCACCAACCTTCCTACACTTCAGCCAGGTATGTCCATGCATCACCAACCTTCCTCCACTTCAGCCAGGTATGTCCTTGCATCACCAACCTTCCTACACTTCAGCCATGTATGTCCTTGCATCACCAACCTTCCTACACTTTAGCCAGGTATGTCCATGCATCACCAACCTTGCTTAACTTTAGCCAGGTATGTCCATGCATCACCAACCTTCCTACACTTTAGCCAGGTATGTCCTTGCATCACCAACCTTCCTACACTTCAGCCATGTATGTCCTTGCATCACCAACCTTCCTACACTTCAGCCATGTATGTCCTTGCATCACCAACCTTCCTACACTTCAGCCAGGTATGTCCATGCATCACCAACCTTCCTACACTTCAGCCATGTATGTCCTTGCATCACCAACCTTCCTACACTTCAGCCAGGTATGTCAATGCATCACCAACCTTGCTACACTTTAGCCAGGTATGTCCATGCATCACCAACCTTCCTACACTTCAGCCAGGTATGTCCATGCATCACCAACCTTCCTACACTTCAGCCATGTATGTCCTTGCATCACCAACCTTCCTACACTTTAGCCATGTATGTCCATGCATCACCAACCTTCCTACACTTCAGCCAGGTATGTCCTTGCATCACCGACCTTCCTACACTTCAGCCATGTATGTCCATGCATCACCAACCTTTCTACACTTCAGCCATGTATGTCCTTGCATCACCAACCTTCCTACACTTCAGCCAGGTATGTCCATGCATCACCAACCTTCCTACACTTCAGCCAGGTATGTCCTTGCATCACCAACCTTCCTACACTTCAGCCAGGTATGTCCATGCATCACCAACCTTCCTACACTTCAGCCATGTATGTCCTTGCATCACCAACCTTCCTCCACTTCAGCCAGGTATGTCCTTGCATCACCAACCTTCCTACACTTCAGCCAGGTATGTCCATGCATCACCAACCTTGCTACACTTTAGCCAGGTATGTCCATGCATCACCAACCTTCCTACACTTCAACCAGGTATGTCCTTGCATCATCAACCTTCCTACACTTCAGCCATGTATGTCCTTGCATCACCAACCTTCCTACACTTCAGCCATGTATGTCCTTGCATCACCAACCTTCCTACACTTCAGCCATGTATGTCCATGCATAACCAAAAACCTTCCTACACTTCAGCCATGTATGTCCATGCATCACAAATCTTCCTACACTTCAGCCAGATATGTCCATGCATCACCAACCTTCCTACACTTCAGTCAGGTATGTCCATGCATCACCAACCTTCCTACACTTCAGCCATGTATGTCCATGCATCACCAACCTTCCTTCACTTCAGCCATGTATGTCCATGCATCACCAACCTTCCTACACTTCAGCCAGATATGTCCATGCATCACCAACCTTCCTACACTTCAGCCAGGTATGTCCATGCATCACCAACCTTCCTACACTTCAGTCAGGTATGTCCATGCATCATCAACCTTCCTACACTTCAGCCAGGTATGTCCATGCATCACCAACCTTCCTACACTTTTAGCCATGTATGTCCTTGCATCACCAATCTCCTACACTTTAGCCATGTATGTCCATGCGTAACCAAAAACCTTCCTACACTTCAGCCATGTATGTCTTTGCATCACCAACCTTCCTGCACTTCAGCCAGGTATGTCCATGCATCACCAACCTTCCTACACTTCAGCCATGTATGTCCATGCATAACCAAAAACCTTCCTCCACTTCAGCCAGGTATGTCCTTGCATCACCAACCTTCCCACACTTCAGCCAGGTATGTCCATGCATCACCAACCTTCCTACACTTCAGCCAGGTATGTCCTTCCATCACCAACTTCCCTACACTTCAGCCATGTATGTCCTTGCATCACCAACCTTCCTACACTTCAGCCAGGTATGTCCATGCATCACCAACCTTCCTACACTTCAGCCATGTATGTCCATGCATCACCAACCTTCCTACACTTCAGCCAGGTATCTCCATGCATCACCAACCTTCCTACACTACACCCATACTTTAAAACTGACACTTCAGCCGTCTGTCACTATAGTTACATCCATACTTTAACACAAACACTTCAGCCATCTGTCACTATAGTTACACCCATACTTTAACACCAACACTGCAGCCGTCTGTCACTATAGTTACACCCATACTTTAACACCGACATTTCAGCCATCTGTCACTATAGTTACACCCATACTTTAACACCGACACTTCAGCCGTCTGTCACTATAGTTACACCCATACTTTTACACCGACACTTCAGCGGTCTGTCACTATAGTTACATCCATACTTTAACTCAGACACTTCAGCCATCTCTCACTATAGTTACACCCATACTTTAACACCGACACTTCAGCGGTCTGTCACTATAGTTACATCCATACTTTAACACCAACACTTCAGCCGTCTGTCACTATAGTTACACACATACTTTAACACCGACACTTCAGCGGTCTGTCACTATAGTTACACCAATACTTTTACACCGACACTTCAGCGGTCTGTCACTATAGTTACACCCATACTTTAACACCGACATTTCAGCCATCTGTCACTATAGTTACACCCATACTTTAACACCGACATTTCAGCCATCTGTCACTATAGTTACACCCATACTTTAACACCGACACTTCAGCCGTCTGTCACTATAGTTACACCCATACTTTTACACCGACACTTCAGCGGTCTGTCACTATAGTTACATCCATACTTTAACTCAGACACTTCAGCCATCTCTCACTATAGTTACACCCATACTTTAACACCGACACTTCAGCGGTCTGTCACTATAGTTACACACATACTTTAACACCAACACTTCAGCCGTCTGTCACTATAGTTACACACATACTTTAACACCGACACTTCAGCCGTCTGTCACTATAGTTACACCAATACTTTTACACCGACACTTCAGCGGTCTGTCACTATAGTTACACCCATACTTTAACACCGACATTTCAGCCATCTGTCACTATAGTTACACCCATACTTTAACACCGACACTTCAGCCGTCTGTCACTATAGTTACACCCATACTTTTACACCGACACTTCAGCGGTCTGTCACTATAGTTACATCCATACTTTAACTCAGACACTTCAGCCATCTCTCACTATAGTTACACCCATACTTTAACACCGACACTTCAGCGATCTGTCACTATAGTTACATCCATACTTTAACTCTGACACTTCAGCCATCTGTCACTATAGTTACACCCATACTTTAACACCGACACTTCAGCGGTCTGTCACTATAGTTACACACATACTTTAACAGCAACACTTCAGCCGTCTGTCACTATAGTTACACACATACTTTAACACCGACACTTCAGCCGTCTGTCACTATAGTTACACCCATACTTTAACACCAACACTTCAGCCGTCTGTCACTATAGTTACACACATACTTTAACACCGACACTTCAGCCGTCTGTCACTATAGTTACACCCATACTTTAACACCAACACTTCAGCCGTCTGTCACTATAGTTACACCCATACTTTAACTCCGACACTTCAGCCATCTCTCACTTTAGTTATACCCATACTTTAACACCGACACTTCAGCGGTCTGTCACTATAGTTACATCCATACTTTAACTCTGACACTTCAGCCATCTGTCACAATAGTTACACCCATGTTTTAACACCGACACTTCAGCGGTCTGTCACTATAGTTACACACATACTTTAACACCAACACTTCAGCCGTCTGTCACTATAGTTACACACATACTTTAACACCGACACTTCAGCCGTCTGTCACTATAGTTACACCCATACTTTAACACCGACACTTCAGCGGTCTGTCACTATAGTTACACACATACTTTAACACCGACACTTCAGCGGTCTGTCACTATAGTTACACACATACTTTAACTCCGACACTTCAGCCGTCTGTCACTATAGTTACACCCATACTTTAACATCAACATTTCAGCCATCTGTCACCATAGTTACACCCATACTTTAACACTGACACTTCAGCGGTCTGTCACTATAGTTACACCCATACTTTAACTCCGACACTTCAGCCGTCTGTCACTATAGTTACACACATACTTTAACACTGACACTTCAGCGGTCTGTCACTATAGTTACACCCATACTTTAACTCCGACACTTCAGCCGTCTGTCACTATAGTTACACACATACTTTAACACCGACACTTCAGCGGTATTATGATGAGTCTCCATTTTTCAGATTCTTGTTGTGCAGAATATCATTGGTTACCTGGCAACTTCACATACAAGACGGAAACTTTATTTGAAGGTATGTACTTGTAATGTTCTAAGGGATATTGGCAGAATGAATGAGAAGTATTTTCAAGACAATACCTACAAATCTCAGTCAACAGCTACAAGGTAGATTAAGATTTGAGGATGCTATAAATATGGGATGTTTGTTGACATTGTTCTAAATATGGCAGTTTATTTCTGGATTTTTGGGCATACTAGTTCAGTGTATCATTGCTCATGATAGTCAACCGCCACTGCCTCTAGGAGTCAGCTTTAGTTGATTACTGAGAGTACGGACTTGGACAAGACAAACAAGAAGGTATACAGAAGAATAATTTTAATCTTGGCAGCAGCATTTCCAGGAAATTTAAGAAATCATGGGTGTGGAAAATATCCCTTTGTATACATGCAAGCATTCCCAGCAATAATCGTCCTGATAGTGGGGAGTCCCCACTAATGAGGCTTCACATGCCATTGTGTGGAAGATAATTCATTTGATGATCTCATTGACAATTCAATATTCTTAATGTCTCCTTGTCTCACTGCATAAATAGTTTAGTCAAAGCAAAAGATGTTTCTTCATCTGTGGTACTTTGGTAAAGTACCAATTATATTTGAGTCATAAATCATAAGTCTCTGCCATGGTCATCTGTTAGTCAGTATTATCTCATCTTACATTAAAATAACCTAAAAATCTTTTTTCCATTACTTGCTTCTAATTGGTCAAGGAGCAGGCAGTTATTATCCATGCTCATGTAGTCCGGCCATGTAACCCGCTAAGTAGCCCAGCCATGTAACATGCTCATGTAGCCCGGCCATGTAACCCACTAAGTAGCCCAGCCATGTAACACGCTCATGTAGTCCGGCCATGTAACCCACTAAATAGCCCAGCCATGTAACATGCTCATGTAGCCCGGCCATGTAACACACTCATGTAGCCCGGCCATGTAACACACTCATGTAGCCCCCTCATGTAACATGCTCATGTACCCCGCTCATGTAACTCGCTCATGTAACCCTCTCATGTAACCCGCTCATGAAGCCTGGCCATGTAACACGCTCATGTAGCCCGGCCATGTAACACACTCATGTAGCCCGGCCATGTAACACACTCATGTAGCCCACTCATGTAACCCGCTCATGTAACACGCTCATGTAGCCTGGCCATGTAACACGCTCATGTAGCCCGGCCATTTAACACGCTCATGTAGCCCGGCCATGTAACACACTCATGTAGCCCAGCCATGTAACACGCTCATGTAGCCTGGCCATGTAACACGCTCATGTAACCCGCTCATGTAACACGCTCATGTAGCCTGGCCATGTAACACGCTCATGTACCCCGCTCATGTAACCCGCTCATGTAACACGCTCATGTAGCCTGGCCATGTAACATGCTCATGTAGCCCAGCCATGTAACACGCTCATGTAGCCCGGCCATGTAAAACGCTCATGTAGCCCGGCCATGTAACACACTCATGTAGCCCACTCATGTAACCCGCTCATGTTACACGCTCATGTTACACGCTCATGTACCCCGCTCATGTAACGCACTCATGTAGCCTGGCCATGTACCCCGCTCATGTAACCCGCTCATGTTACACGCTCATGTTAGACGCTCATGTACCCCGCTCATGTTACTCGCTCATGTAACCCGCTCATGTAGCCTGGCCATGTAACACGCTCATGTAGCCCGGCCATGAAACACGCTCATGTAACCTGGCCTTGTAACACACTCATGTAACCTGCTTAGTAGCCCAGTCATGTAACCGGTTCGTTTACTCGCTCATGAAGCCCGGGCCATGTAACACGCTCATGTAGCCCGCTCATGTAACACGCTCATGTAGCCCTCTAGGTAGCCTGGCCATGTAACACGCTCATGTAGCCCAGCCATGTAACCGGCTCATGTAGCCTGCTTATGTAGCCCACTCATGTAGCCCGGCCATGTAGCCCACTCATGTAGCCTGGCCATGTAGCCCACTCATGTAGCCCGGCCATGTAGCCCACTCATGTAGCCCGGCCATGTAGCCCACTCATGTAGCCTGGCCATGTAGCCCACTCATGTAGCCCGGCCATGTAGCCCACTCATCTAACAAGCTCATGTAACACGCTCATGTAGCCTGGCCATGTAACACGCCCATGTAGCCTGGCCATGTAACACACTCATGTAGCCGGCCATGTAACACGCTCATGTAGCCCGGCCATGTAACACACTCATGTAGCCCACTCATGTAACCCGCTCATGTAACACGCTCATGTAGCCTGGCCATGAAACACGCTCATGTAGTCCGGCCATGTAACACACTCATGTAGCCCGGCCATGTAACACACTCATGTAGCCCGGCCATGTAACACGCTCATGTAGCCTGGCCATGTAACATGCTCATGTAGCCTGGCCATGTAACACGCTCATGTAGCCTGGCTATGTAACACACTCATGTAGCCCGGCCATGTAACACACTCATGTAGCCTGGCCATGTTACCCGCTCATGTAGCCTGGCCATGTAACACGCTCATGTAGCCCGGCCATGTAACACGCTCATTTACCCCGCTCATGTAACTCACTCATGTAACCCGCTCATGTAGCCTGGCCATGAAACACGCTCATATAGCCCGCTCATGTAACTCACTCCTGAAGCCCAGCCATGTAACACGCTCTTGTAGCCCAACCATGTAATTCACTCATGTAGCCTGGCCATGTTACCCGCTAGGTAGCCCGGCCATGTAACACGCTCATGTAGCCCGCTCATGTAACTCACTCCTGAAGCCCAGCCATGTAACACGCTCTTGTAGCCCGGCCATGTAACACACTCATGTAGCCCACTCATGTAACACGCTCATGTAGCCTGGCCATGTAACACGCTCATGTAGCCTGGCCATGTAACACACTCATGTAGCCCGGCCATGTAACACGCTCGTGTAGCCCGGCCATGTAAGACGCTCATGTAGCCCGGCCATGTAACACACTCATGTAGCCCAGCCATGTAACACACTCATGTAGCTTGGCCATGTAACACGCTCATGTAGCTCGGCCATGTAACACACTCATGTAGCCCGGCCATGTAACACACTCATGAAGCCCGCTCATGTAACATGTTCATGTAACACGCTCATGTAGCCTGGCCATGTAAGACGCTCATGTAGCCCGCTCATGTAACATGTTCATGTAACACGCTCATGTAGCCCGGCCATGTAACACACTCATGTAGCCCAGCCATGTAACACGCTCATGTAGCCCGCTCATGTAACATGTTCATGTAACACGCTCATGTAGCCTGGCCATGTAACACACTCATGTAGCCCAGCCATGTAACACACTCATGAAGCCCGCTCATGTAACATGTTCATGTAACACGCTCATGTAGCCTGGCCATGTTACACACTCATGTAGCCCAGCCATGTAACACGCTCATGTAGCCCGGCCATGTAACACACTCATGTAGCCCGGCCATTTAACACGCTCATGTAGCCTGGCCATGTAAGACGCTCATGTAGCCCGGCCATGTAACACACTCACGTAGCCCAGCCATGTAACACACTCATATAGCTTGGCCATGTAACACGCTCATGTAGCTCGGCCATGTAACACACTCATGTAGCCCGGCCATGTAACACACTCATGAAGCCCGCTCATGTAACATGTTCATGTAACACGCTCATGTAGCCTGGCCATGAAACACGCTCATGTAGCCCGCTCATGTAACTCACTCATGAAGCCCGGCCATGTAACACGCTCATGTAGCCCGGCCGGGCCATGTAACACGCTCATGTAGCCTTGCCATGTAATTCGCTCATGTAGCCTGGCTATAAAACACGCTTATGTAGCCCGCTCATGTAACTCGCCTATGAAGCCTGGCCATGTCACACGCTCATGTAGCCCGGCCATGTAACACGCTCATGTAGCCCGGCCATGTAACACACTCATTTACCCCGCTCATGTAATTCACTCATGTAACCCGCTCATGTAACTCACTCATGTAGCCCGCTCATGTAACTCACTCATGAAGCCTGGCCATGTAACACGCTCATGTAGCCCGGCCATGTAATTCGCTCATGTAGCCTGACCATGTAACCCGCTAGGTAGCCTGGCCATGTAACCCGCTCATGTAACCTGGCCATGTAACACGCTCATGTAGCCCGGCCATGTAACACACACATGTAGCCCGGCCATGTAACACACTCATGTAGCCTGGCCATGTAACATGCTCATGTAGCCTGGCCATGTAACACGCTGATGTAGCCTAGCCATGTAACTCGCTCATGAAGCCCGGCCATGTAACACACACATGTAGCCCGGCCATGTAACACACTCATGTACCCCGCTCATGTAACATGCTCATGTAACACGCTCATGTACCCCGCTAATGTAACATGCTCATGTAACCCGCTCATGTAGCCTGGCCATGAAACACGCTCATGTAGCCCGCTCATGTAACTCGCTCATGAAGCCCGGCCATGTAACACGCTCATGTAGCCCGGCCATGTAATTCGCTCATGTAGCCCGGCCATGTAACACGCTCATGTAGCCTGGCCATGTAACACGCTCATGTAGCCCGGCCATGTAACACACTCATGTAGCCTGGCCATGTAACACGCTCATGTAGCCCTGCCATGTAACACACTCATGTAGCCAGGCCATGTAACACACTCATGTAGCCCACTCATGTAACCTGCTCATGTAACACGCTCATGTAGCCTGGCCATGTAACACGCTCATGTAGCCTGGCCATGTAACACATTCATGTAACACTCATGTAGCCCAGTCATGTAACACTCTCATGTAACACGCTCATGTAGCCTGGCCATGTAACACGCTCATATAGCCCACTCATGTTACTCACTCATGTAGCCCGCTCATGTAACTAACTCATGAAGCCTGGCCATGTAACACGCTCATGTAGCCCGGCCATGTAACACACTCATGTAGCCTGGCCATGTAACACGCTCCTGTAGCCTGGCCATGTAACACGCTGATGTAGCCCGGCCATGTAACACACTCATGTAGCCCAGCCATGTAACACACTCACGTAGCCC